AAGGTTAATATCTGAAATCTTTTCACATACAGGCTCATGATCATGTTCTAAGACGCGGTAGAGTTAAGTTAATGAACTAAATTCTTTAAGTTTCGAAAATCTGTCCGTCGCATAATCATGTGGCCCGGCCGGTAATCGGGAACGAATCGCGCCGATCGCAGCAGTTTGTGCTGTTATGGCGCATAACGTTTTCCCAGCAGCTGGCAAAGCTGACGGTGGTCTGGTGGTTTTCGTACAGATGGGTCGCCCAGTTGCTTCAAAATGCGTCTTTTAGTCTTTAGCGAACCGACATCTGACCGCAAGGGGTAGTAGTAGTCTTCACCGCGCGGGTACCTTTTACCTCAGCACGAAACCGCCATAAATATTTGACTTATGGCGCAACTATAAATATTTGAGGTTTGTCCTCCTGTTCACATTGCATCTCTTGTAGGATGCGCTCGGTAACGTTTGACCTTGTGTACGTATAGAACTGAACTAACCTTTATCTCATTACGGATAAAACAGGTGATTTCTGAAGTATCGTAAATTAATTTTCGAGCATTGTACGTTGCTCTTTTTTTGGAACGATATCTAACCCTGTTTTGAAACTGTTTTAGGCGGCCAACAACGCTGCAGTGGCTTTATTGTACATTGGCAGAATAACTGAGGCAACAGCTATTTTCCAGAAGCTGATCGCAACTAGTCCAGAGAGCGTTCGCATACCGGAAGTTTGCGCAAACCTCAGTTCCTTATACGAGTTACAGTACTCGAAGAGTACTGCGAAAGAGGTCGAATTGCTTATGGTTGTGCGCAATAACTATCTAGAAACGTTTGATTCATCGTATATTAAACTGTAGAAATACACTAAAAATATGCGCAGAAAAACAACTTACCAGTAAAACAGTTGTAAACAATTACTATCCCATCTGATTTACGTATGTTTAGTCCATTATGCATGTAGTCCATTTTATGTATGTGTCCAAGAAGCAAAAAATATGATGCCTGAATTAAGTAAAGAAAGGCGGAATTTATCTTTATCTTGTTAACAAGAATAGTGTAACTACAAGTTAATTAGTCGGTGACTATACATAGTTAACAGTACAAACCGAATTGTCGATATCTATACTCTGCATATCGAACCTGTTAACCTCAATTCTTCATTCCGGGTTTGTGATTAAAGCGTGGGTGTCGTTTTAGGGAGCACTATTTTAGAAGCGACTACAATGGCTTTTTCTGTGCCAGGCTACTGTTGCCGCATCAGCCTACCACTTCAGGGTTAGAGAGAAATTCATTGCCACCAGCTCAAGAGTATTCGCTCTATCGTAGTTTGCCTTATAACGCATGTTACGACGCGGGAAGTCATGGCTGAACTTTCGAGAGCATGTAGCTTTACAAGATGTGAAAGATTTTAGCAGTTTCAGATTCAATCATCGCAGATTCTGTTGTATGGGCCATCCTCAGCTTTATACCTGGGAATTACTGACTTAGATCTTGACTTAAATCCTAAGAAGGCATGATTCAGAAGGCTACGTGATTCTTCTGTGGTTTTATTGGACATAAAATCTTTATCAGGTTATTTATGATGCAAATCTAAGAGTACCTGCTTTGGCGGCAAGCTTGAAAGCCAACTGAATTCACTTAGGCCTGTTACGGAAAAGGAAATGTAAACCGGCGAAAGAAATGCAATTTAAGACTCAAGAGCCAAGCAGTAGCCTATGAAAAATTCTGTTCTTGGAACCTGTAAACAACACAGAATGCTTCAAACAGTAGCTAAAACCACGCATTTTAAAGATTACCTCATCAACATGTAAGTTTAAATAATTTAGGTTGCCACCACCAAAACGTCGTCTAGAAATCTTAAGCAAATCTTCGTCGTACGGAAAACTTGAATCATTCAGATAACACGAAAGTTGCTGCGCGTTAAACAAAAAATCTGAACACTTCTTAATGCAAATGTTTCATACCTTGTTATTGCATGCGCTTATATACAGATTCTCCACATGGTAATAAATGAAACAATTCATGCATTGTTAGTCATACCAAGAGTACTGCAAAAAAGTTCTGGGTCAAGCAAAGAATACGGGTCTGCCATTTAGGAAGTACATAACTTAATAAACTGTTTCAAATGTGCATTACCATTTCCCCGCGAGGCAATTACAGAAGGATAAAAGTCTTTTATTATAACCCT